CCCCAAAACCCCAAAACCCCGGAAGGATTATAATTTCTGAATAAGGTAAGACTGATTAAAATAATTAAAAAAGATATTTATTATAAATAATAATATAAAATAAATACCTAAAAATATCCAATTACGCATATAAATTTACAAAAATTTAGTATAGTTATAAAATATAATCTTAATATCATCCTACTACTAAATAATGAACAAATACGTCACTATTGCAGGAGCCCTCTTATTGGGATCTGTAGTCGCTACATCAACCATTTTGAGCGAGGAACAACTTGTCCACGCACTCAGTCATGAATTAGAAAGTGCTGAACAGGACGTTCAACTTATCAAGCAACACCTTAGCGGCATTCTTAGAAAGAGAGGAAATTCAGCTGAGCCAAGAGTTGAGAAATCATCCAATTGGAGTAAAATTCACCACGCTACCGGAGCTCTCAATGACCTTACTCAAGCAGGAACCGCAATCTATGAAGCTACTCACCATCTCAACGTTGAGTCAAAAGGAGCTTTCTCAAATATTCATTATCCAAAAGGATTTTTTAAAAGACACATTACTATTGCAGAAGAAGAGCCTAACGTTGAGATATCAAAATTCTCACTAATCAGAGGGGGTCTTGATATCGGAAGTCATATTTTAAACCATCACAATAATAAGAAAAATAATAAACTCTAAGTCGAAAAATCAAGATGGGAAGATGTTCACCACGCTACTGGTGCTTTTAAGGATCTTACTGATGCCGGAGTTACTATCTACGACGCAGCTAATCCCCATGTTGAAAAATCATCCAGATGGAGTAAAGCCCACCATGCAACCGGAGCTCTTAATGATCTAACCTAAACTGGAATCGCCATATACAATGCTGCACACAACCATCTAAATGTTGAAAGCCCAAATTGGGAAGAGAATGAAGATATTGATGAGCTCAATGTTGAGAGAGGTTTCAGTCTTCACAATATTGGACATGCTACTGGTATTGCTGGAGATTTAGTTGGAATTGGTGCTAATATTTACGGTGCTGTTCATCAACCACATGTTGAGAGAGGAATCAGTCTTCACAATATTGGGCATGCTACCGGTATTGCTAGTGATCTCGTTGGAATTGGTGCTAATATCTATGGAGCAGTCCATAACGTACAAGCTATGCCTGATGATGATGAAGAAGATGAAGAAATTGAAGTTTAACAATACTTTGACGGACCTGTTTTCGTAAGACCATCAAGATACTCTCCTATGGAATCATTTGTTTACCCATATGATGAATGATATATTCTAGTAATGCATATGGCTTATCCAATCAAATTATAACAAAACAATAATTCATAATAAAACTTAAAATTTAATTCATTTTGTTATAAATATTTAATAATAATTTAATAAGCTCTAAATTTAGACTTATGGGGTTTTGGGGTTTTGGGGTTTTGGGG